CATCCAAGGTCAGACGACTAGAGATACCCAGGTGTGCCGCAAATATCCGTCCATCATGAATCAAGTATTGGCTCATAACGGTAAAATTTACATGGCAGGTGATGAGATGTTTGTGTGTGTTTGTGAACATCGTGATGCACGATGGAATCGAACCGACTGCGTGAATCGGGAGGGTGAATTGGATAAGTACGAAAGTGTGCCACCAACAGGAACACCAGGGCAAACTTAGCAATCACCGTCTCGACTTCAATCCAATCATCCGATATCTGCTATGGTGATGCTGACAACACGCACGCTGATCCAGCCAGCCTTCCTTGACTTGCGAACCACATTGGCGGTACAGAAGTAGGTGTTGACGCGTCACGATTCTCCAGCTAGCAAACTGCAAGGCAGAAGTGGGCTTTTTCTTACACTAGTTAATGCTTCTCAATGAACTTTGGGGCAGATTTGCCTCAAGACAGCATCAATCGGCCTGCTTAGCACTAAAAATGACGTATTCATTTCGGTGAATGGACACTACTTCTCCCTCACGATCCTGCATTCCGTGATCTGTCGTCAACTTATCATCATCGTCCGCAGGTCTGCATGCTAACTGCCCTTCTTCTTCGGCACCTCTACAGCATCAGATAACTGCAACTCTGCCTTCCACTCTCTCGTGCATCTAACTTACGACGGCTGTTAACGAGACAATCGATTTCCGATGGGAGAAATAGTAGCGCACGCCACTGCCTATTTTAAAATTTTATGGATGACCACCCCACAGCCAGAGCCTGATTACGCAGAGCAACGGTCAACATTTTCATCGCTGAGTCTCAAAGAACACTCGCCATGTAGAATGTAATTTGCTTTAAAAATATCTCTTCACTGTTAATATCGATGACAGCATTATCAACGAGTCAATCGATTTTCAAACATAGTAATATCAGCCTATGCAAAAGCCCGATTCGCTCAAATTTGGAAAATCAGCAGTCACAGGATGAAGACGGCTCAATTTGGTTGTGATGCCACAAGCTGGTGACACACCTCGCAAAACGTCCATCTCCACACTGGGGGACCGTCAGCTCACTAGCACCAAGGCTGCACACCTCACATTTCGTCATGGTGTGGGGTAAAATAACAGAGTGCGGTAGGAAGGGGGGAGGTGGTAAAGAGGATTACAAATATTCTACTGTGCTAACAATGTGACTGGAAATAATTCTTGATTAACTTGTGTTCCTTGTGTCTCGTTGTGATTCATGTTAAGGCGAATCAGTCTAGTTGGCAGTGGAAACGCGTGTGTCGTTGGGGAGGATGTGGATTTGTCTAGATTGGCACAACGACGTAGTTCTGCATGGAGTGACCAACGCCTAGAGGTGCAGACGGTGGTTGTCAATACTTTGCCAGCTTGCATTGCGTTATTGCAAGCTCTTTCCACAGGTTTTGGCCCTACATGTTCACGCGTACACTTGTCGTTTCTCGAGAAGTCCTCACGAATCACGACTCCACTTAATCAAAATGGCATGGCCTAAGTTGCCTGCTTCCTAACACAAGGCTGATCCCTTTAACAATGCTGCTTTTTCCACTCCTAGCTAACCAATTTGCCTTCTCTAGCTGTAGAGCATCAACGCAGCATTCCCGCGATATCAAAGAAATACTTTAGATGAACCGATTAAGAAATAGCGTTGATTTGGGGCAAATGTCGTCGGTTGAATCCTACCTTCAAGCCATTCCTGAGTTCCAACCCCATTGGTGACGACTGATGTGATGTCCGTCTCTTCTTTCATTGGGGTTCGTCTGGCCACAACTCAATGACGTGTCCAGACGGCAGGATCGCGGACAAATCACTCGCTTCATTTGCTTCCCCAGTTAAATGAAACTCAATCAGCGGTTGGCGAGACTTACATGCCTTGTCGATGGAACTGCCAAGTAGCTGCTGCTGCTGCTAATTTGGTGAAATCTGCTTCAAGAGTTCATTAACACACCACAAGCTGTAATACGAAGAGTCAACAACTTACCTAAAGCCAGTAAGTCGTTGCTGACATTTTCACCTGCTGGGACTGGAGCGTAATCCAACCGCCTTCGATGCCGGTCAGTAGACTCCTGAGAAATCTGGTCTTTGTGTAAACCAAGGGGGCATTGCTGATTATTCACGTACTTTGAATAATGCGGAATGAGCAGTTTTGGGTCCATCAAGCGATTATCCCGACCATGGTCTAGACGTGGAGAGGCGTTTCCATCGCCCAAATGTATCGAAGAGTCATTGGCACTGAGATGCCCTATCGCTGAGACATTTTTAAATCGTCGCAGGTACTCTAGTCATCTGATTCCGCATAAGCCATGTGATGTGGGACAGACCACCAACTGTTGGAAGGGCAAAATGTCGCTCGCAGTCTGCTTTGAGAGTTCCGTGTTGGTGAGACTCAGGCATCCGGTTTCAACGCGATGCGTTTTTCACGGGACTTAGTGGGTGAGTTTGGCTTGTGACTGGTCGGTGAAATGTAAGGAAGCAAAGTCACCTTAGATAGTTGGTGTGACTTCTTCTAGGTAAGCAGAAGCGTGCCAGGTTGGCATCAGGGGTTAAGTGGGAGAAATCGGCGATTTCGTTGACTGACAGGCATGCAGCCAGACAAGCATTTAACTAGTAAGAAGCAACTAAAACGATTCTCGCTTGAGCTAGTCCTTCACCTGCGGACAGCATTGTTCACGGCGAGTATTGGATCAGGCAGGTCGATATCTGCAGATCGTGAAATCCGAGTTCTTGAGAAACTAGGAGATGTTCTCAAACATGTTGCGTTGTGTTATGTCCAAAGTTTGGTGGCTGTTGTAGTTTCAAGTGGTGGTGAAAGACGTAGAAATGTTGAAAACGGTGCCACCTACCCTCTAAAAGTGTTATTTGGTCATCTGAAGAGATCTGGAGAAGTGCGGTCTGATTGTTCAACGGTACATTTCATCTGTGCTAATATTTCAGCTTCTGACAATCTCTAGTGTCGTTCTGGCTCCCACGGCAGTACCTCACCCTCGTGCCCCAGACTTCACTCAACGCAATAACACTGAATTCGTTTTTGCGTCACCCAACTCCACGTTTTCTTCTCATTCACCATTCAAGTTTGCTCTCAATGCGAGCTGAGCATCTGCCGGCCTCACTTGACTCCACGCTCTTGTGCCTCCTACATGACTCTGACACAACATTTTTGCCTCGAACAAGTGTCCACAGTCAAGCCAAGTCACTGCGTTAGGCTGTGTTTCGAATCGGAGTACAGAGGATATGTCTACTGAGTCAAGTACAAGCCACACCACTGTTTACCACGTTCACAATTCGGCAACCCCTACATTCCTGGCGCTAAGTTGCACACATCTGCTTGAAGCGTGATCTTGCAGGCACAATGATGTGCCGGAGGATGACTTGATGGGCATTGCGAACATTCGCCACAGGGAATTCGCCAAGCCTGGAGTGCAGTCATGAGAGCACGAGCCAAGATTTCACTGACCATCTCACATGAGACACCAGCTTGATTCAATGCCTGCTGGTATGCTGACTGACCCTAGAAACACGCGGCCACAAAACGCAGGCATTTTTGTATAAAATGAAGCCATCTCGATTCACCATGTCGATCCTTTGGGTACATGGACACATAATCGGATTCTACGAAGTTCGTCGGTGTAAGCGAGACGATGGTCGTCAATTTGTACCTGCATCTTTGAAAGGGCACGGCGCTTCTGTCGAAGTGAATGCAGTGAATTTAGTGGACCAGAGTAGTCGTTTCTGATTGGTTTTGCTCAAACTAACTTCAAGAAACTTTGGCTTCTACAGGCTTAATTGGTTACTCTTTTCATGGGATTAGTTTCATCTCCTAAAGACAAGCAGTTGAAACCAAACATGCCGCGTTAAGTCAGTGTTACCGATAGCAACAAACGCCAGTTCCTGTGCACTACTTTCGAGGTACCACCAATTTCCTAGTTAACAAGGCTCCAAAATAATTTGACTCATCGCGGATTTCAAAACATGGAATTGACCAATCGGACACAAGACTATGTTTGCTCAAATGAGCCGTTCATTCCAAACTTGTGCCCAACAAGATCGTGGTCGGCATTATCAAAATATTCAGGTTGACTATCAACTTTATTAGACCAAATACGACTCAGAGGAGAATACTGCCAAACCAAAACAGACGAGTGAGTAGTGAAAGACCACAAGTTAAAGATCGTCAAGATTTATAGCTGGCGGACCATTGCGTTTCATGTAGCGTCGATAGCGTTTCTGGTTGGTATCCTCGGCCGCCCGAATTCGAACCTCCTCCTCCACCTTTAGCATGTAAGCCTAGTAAAAATTAAGACAGATAAATACACCACCCATTCGATTTAAGTGGGAATATTAAAACCAATTGAGCACCTTAAACTTTTCTCGATCCCACAGGCCTAGCTGGTTGAAGTGGGCTCTCTTCTCAGCATCAAGGCCTTCCCAGCGTGCCTGACTGTAACCCAACCTCCACCGGGTCAAAAACTCCTGTTCTTCACTTCCATACGGCCGTTGTAGAATCCAAAAGAGGATAACCCAACGCAAAGCCCACCAACAAAACCGCACGACGTGGTATGGAAAGAAGAACAGCTGCAGTAGAAGCGTGTGTCGAATGCTCGGCGGACCACAGTCACCGCTGGATGAGAAAAAAAAGCTGTAAAAACGCACGCCTTGAAGACAAGGGCAGGAAACAGACGCATTACCGAAGATCCACGGTTTTGACGATGATGGAACGAATGATGTCCTCCTCGCGCGCCTTCAGCTCGTCTCTGGTGAGTCTGCGTCCGACTTCCTGCTTGCTAACTCGAAAGCGGTTCTCGGCAAGCGCAAGTTCCCTTGCCTTGTTGCGGTGTTTCGGGTCGCGGACCAGGTAGGCGATGGCCTGATCGTGTTTGGTCTTCTGACTGATGTACTAAAGGATTGTTTACGAGCCTCAAGACTAACCTGGATGGCGGATAAGATGAGCACGGTGGCTACAATGACCACACGAACGTCAACTTTGGGCGAGTATCGTCGCCTGAAGTAGCGATAGTAGTGGTAGTACATCTCGCTCGGGTTGTCAAGCATGTACTCATACTCTTGTCGTTGTTCTGGATCACGAAGGATCTAGATGGACGAAGAAGAGGCGAATTAATAGAAAAGAAAGCAGTCACAGCATACCCCGTAGGCTGTTGCGATCAGGTGAAAGGTCTTTTTAGCCTGGACTTTGTCCTGTGGGGTCTTTTGCCTGTCCGGATGATGTTCCTTCGCTAGAGCTCGGTACGCACGCTGGACGGCCGAGACGTCAGCGTCACGACTGATGCCCAACACTGGAAGACAAAGGCAACACTGACGGAGTATGCCGAAGCACTAAGACCCTCCTTGTCGTTATCTACGAGAAAGGAAATTGGGTTCCTAATAATTACTTGCGGGACAATACTACGTTGGAAAAGCTCTACTTATGTGAGGTAGATTTTTTAAACAAAGCAATAGTTATTTGGAGTTCCTTTAAAAGAAATACGATTATAATGCGTTTACTACAGCCAATACTGAGCAAGAACTAGGATCAGTATGTGAGGGTTTTAGCCATAGATAAATTGGACAACTGGAAAAGTTCCAAACACCTCCTATTGGAACCAAGGAAGTGAAAAACATCAAGTTGGCTTGAGAATGTGGAATGGTTACCTGTTTACCAGCGAGGAGCAAGGACTTATATCTAGGACACCAACCTAAATTAGCCTACTACTACACCTTTCTGTTCTAATAATACTTTGAAATGAGGCCAGTGAAAAATCAATGCAACTTCTTACAAAGTACCAGTTGAACATCCTTTTAAAAATTAATTTGGTTTACCATAAGGGTGAGATAAAACATCACTGACTGGCAACAAAAAAAATTTGGGTGACTGACAAATTTAAAAGTAGGCAGTCGTTTTAAGTCAAAAGGTAACGGAAACAGGTTATGGCAACTCTTTACCTGTCTTAAAGGACAAATTTAACTTTAATTACATGTAAGACAGCAATTCGTTTACGCAAAAAGTAAGATTCTTCATTAGGTACTTGAAAAAGTGTTTAAATACAATAACAGTTAATTGGACTACAAGTAATGCGTCTTGAACGTCGATTTTATGAGAGACAGGTAAGGAACTGCACAGTACCACTGGCGTTTAATGTGAAAATGAAACCCAAACGCACCATCGAAACAAGTTTGCTTGCCACAGTAGATTCCTTCCACCTGTGCATCAGCTAAATAGAACGAGCACAAGAGCAGGAGAAGAATTGTGCACATTCAGATTAACAGGAGAAAGCTAAAGTCCGATTTTTCAAAGCTCGGTTATTATATGTCATTCGTTGATTAGCTAAAATATTCTCATGAAATGAACTACGTTTAATCGCGAAAAAATTTGTTTTTTTAGACACATTTAGGAAGTACAATCCAACAATAAAAAAAAGAAACATAAGATATTGTATTAGAATTAACTTCAAGTGAGACAAAGAATGCTAAGTGATGTCTGCAAACTGGAATCTGCTTCTGCAGTGACCATGGCAGAATGTTGTGCCGAAACGAAATTTCTCCAGTTGAATTTGCATTAATAAAATATGCCTGTAAGCAATTTTCTAAGTTTGGAGATTAGAGGTTAAATTTAGTATGGTTTTTACAAGAGCTCAAAATGCATTGACAAAGTAGCGATTTCTGATTTTCAAAGCATACTTTTTTAAAAAATAAATTTATGAAACCTTAGGATAAGTAATGATGTTAATGCATACTTGGATACCCTTAAATTTTTGCAGATTAAAAATCTGGTTACTATTTGTCTTCTTGTACCATACATAAACATTTTTTAAATTAATTTTCAAAAAAGGAATTGAACTTAGAGTAAATATTTTAATATTAGAACTGTCTTAAGCAGAAAAATTGGTAAAGCTACCGCAATTAGAAATTGAACTATACATGTTGCTATTCGATCGAGTCTTCACGAGTTGCTCAGATGAACTCACTAAAAATAGCAAACATTTGAAATAATCTGCCTTTAGCAGCCCAAAAATTTGGAACTGCAGAAAACGGGCTTGCCTTTAGCCATCTGCACAAAGGCATATATTTTAACCATTTGAGATTCAGGATTTTGCAACCTCTAGGTGAACATATATGTGCACGTGGACTGTATGGCGGTTCAAGTGTTTCAGGCAAATTCACTAGAGAATTCACATTTACAACGTCTATGTTGGAAGTAGGGGTTGCATAGCATTGTCCACATTAATGACATGAAGAATATCAGTCGAAAATATGAGACATAATCTAAGTGTCATACCTCCCTCGGTTAGATTTGACCAAAATCGTAATAATTGTCTAAGGCCAGCGGTCTGTGTTCGATGTGTATTAAATTGTGAACGTTTAAATAGATGTCTAATAGGCCTGACTGCATGACATAAGGATGGGTTCACAGCTGAAGATGCTGTAAGTCTTTTAAGTTATATAGATTTTGACGTAGCTACTATTCTGCACCACTGAAAATTTGCTGTGGAACTGCGCTGGTTAAGAAAAACAGGGGAACGTCCGATCGCAGGTAAACCAAAGTCATGATCGTCACCAGGGTTTCCTTTGTGACCGTGAAAGCATAACGGGCCTGATTTGCAAAAAAAATAAGCGTTTAAATTTGCATTTGAGTAGAATGGTTATAGATGTAATAACCCCGGTTGAGTTGAGTTGGAATTAACGGCAGAAACTAGTCATTCCAATGATAATGACAAAGTTGACTAGCCGATTGTAGCTCCGGGAACACGTAAAGTTTTCATATCCTGATGTCGGCAGAAGTTATATAAGAATATTTTGAGCATTTGACGACAGCGGTGGCGTCACAACTTGAATTTTAAAAATAAAACTAGCAAGAGGTAAAATTAGAAAAAGGAAAGCCTTGTGCGTTGATTCCATGGATAATAGATAAAGGTTGCTGATGATGAAATAGACATTTGCACTAATTGGATGCAAATTAACGAATGATTAACCAAATCAGATTCATGAGAAGGTGTATGCACTCAAGTATGCTTTGACTCTGTCCTCGGCATTTAACGAAGTGTCAACAGGCAGAATTGCAAGAGTATAACAAGAAACTAAAAGAATGTGCATAAATTTCTTAAGAAATATTACATGTGGTTTAGATGTATGTAGTTATTGTCTTGAGTAAAAAGAGAATTGTCAATTAGGTTTTTCTAGACATGATAACAAATCGTAGAATGACTATACAACAAAAATAGGTTCAACAAGATGATTGCTTTAATAAATAGGTATTCATCTTCGTGAATCTAAAATTAAAACAAAAAAATCGTTGCTCAACTTTGATCTACTTATGAGTACGTAGGCACCAATTGGAGATAATTTGAAGATGTAATAATGGTGAGCTGCACCAAAAGATTTTTGAACTGTCATTTTGTATATTTAAAATGCTCTTGTCAAAAGAATTTAGATGCACAAATTTCTGATTTAAGATACCCTTCAGTAACGTGGGGTTACTCAAAATGTCAAAAATTACTTACTTATTATTTTTATTACATTATTTTCTTAGAATAGGAAGGCCGTTGGATGGTATCTGTGTAGTATAGAGTGCTTGCGCCTTTAATAGAAATATAATTTAATTGCTTTGATTAATAGTTAACGAAGTATCTAAATTTTTTATTTATTCCAACACATGGCTTTTTAATTTTTGTTTGAGTAGGCTGGTCGTTGTGAGATGTATTTGTATAGAAGAGATGTCGGCTTTCAGGTATTCGGTTTCCCCATCCGGTTCTTCGGACGATGATGGGGTACGTGTATTTGGCAGTCAATAATGGATTCAACTTAAATGTGCTAATTCTTTTGCTTTTGCCATTTTAGTGGGGGTCATCGAGGAAAAGTTCAAAAAAGAAAACTAGCAGCGGCAATCCAAAAAAAGCCCGCTTGGAAAGTCGTCTGAGTGATCCAGAAGAGGGTGAAATTCCTAGTGACGCTTTTGACGATGACGAAGACGATGGGTTAGACGATGACTTGTATGGGGGTGAGGAAGATAAACAACGCCTACTAAAATTGAGTGAAAAGGAACGGGAAGAAGAACTTTATCGTCGAAGCGAGCGGCGTGAGGCAATGAAGGTTTGGTGTTTAATTTCAGACTTTGAGATACGTTAGATTCGACGAGATCTTAAAAAGCGCCTAAAAGAGAAAAAGGAAAGGGAAAAGGCCGAGCGCGCCAACCAAAAATGCTCACCAGTTGGAGAGCCGTCCAAAGATGTGCCTTTAAAATCAACGAAAAAGAGTTCTGCATACGCAAATGTCTACAGTTCTGATAGTGATCAAGGAAGCAGTTCTGAAGTTGAGTCTGTGAAGTCTAGTTTAAAGAAAAGACGTCTCGAATTGTCGATGCAAAAGGTAGCTAGTGTGTGGTCTGCATTGTCAATTTTCCTTAGGAAAGTCGTTCAAAGCGCTTGCAGGAGCTTGCGGATCGTCGCAAAGAATTAAAAAATAGGAAAGAAACCAGCAATTATGACTCTGAAGATGAGCGAAAGGGTTCACAGTCGCGGTCAAAGCAGGACGTCCGACGAAGAGTTTATTCTAGTTCTTCATCAGACTCTGATTCTAGTCGTTCACGACTCGAACAGACGCCTTCCCGAAAACGACAAAGGAAAGTTTCTCCTTTTCCATCCGCGACATCTCGTTCAACCACAGCTACCTAGCTTGAGGTTTCGAACTTGTAAAGGCAGCGATTGTGGCAAATGTTCATGTCTATAGATATTTAAGTCATGAGGCCGGGAATTTGTGCCTCGGGATTCCGTTACAACCAAACTGCATGAAATGCTTGTCTGATTTATTATGGCGTTTAATTGCAGCTGGTTGATTATTTGGCCCGAGCGGATTATGTTCGTAGGGGTCACCACTAATTTATGCGTGAGGTAGTGTTCTTCCTAATTACGTTTTCGTGCTCTCCTTGTCTTTACAGTCTCTCCAGTTATTCCCGTTCATCTTCTGCTCAATCCAGCGAATCGAGTGACGACGACCGTGGTCGCAGCAGATCTCCGGAAGTTGAATACATTACAACGCTCGAACAGCTGTCCAAAATCCGACTCTCTCGATTTAAGCTGGAAAAATGGGTCCATATCCCGTTCTTCGACGTAAGTAGTTTGTGCAACCATCTAGCCCCAGCAAATTCATTTGCTCATGCTGATCGTTTTTACGTCCAGACTGTGGCAAAAGGATGCTTTGTGCGTATCCACATCGGTCTATGTCAAGGAACTCCTGTATATCGATGCGGAGAAATTATTGACGTTGTTGAGATGGCTAAGCCCTATGATTTGGGTCAAACAAGGTAATGATCAGTCTATTCTCATTGCCTTGCCTATATGACATAGTTATTATTACGCTCTTCGCTGTGACTTTGAGTTGCTGATTTATCCGAGGTCCAATTTTGCGGCGTTAAGGTGGTGGACAAAGTTTAATCTGCGTACATCTCGTTACCTTTAGTCGTAGCGTGGTTGTTGTAGGTCGTATGTTTGGTTCGGCATTTTTCTAACGGTCGAAGTAACCTCTAAATATGCATGGACTCGTGTGCCCGGGTGATTTAACGACGAAATGATCACTAAAGGTGAACTAACGTTTATTTCTTTGTTATTACCCAGAACAAACAAAGGAATCGTTATTCGACTGGGCAGGGATCAGCACACTTTTCGTTTAGCAGTTGTGTCAAATTCTGAATTCCAACCTATCGAATTCGAAAGCTGGAAGAAGTACTCCAGCCAAGCCGGAATTAAACCTCCCACAACGTCCTTCGTTGCTCAGAAGGCAGCTGAGATCCACAAGTACCTGACAACCCCCATAAGTGACGAGCGTGTCGTCGAACAGGTCATTATATAAGTTATTTTCAATGATTTCCCTTAAACGAGTTCCGGCCAAATGTTTTGCTCTTAGATCGGTCATTGAAGGAGATGCCCAGGTTTTCATACTTAGTGAAATTTCTTGATTATTTCATACTCGCTTTATATTGACACCAAGACCTTTCGTAAACACGCCTTTAGTACTGTGGCCTCTCGATTTCGCACATTAGTGCTGTTTTAAAAATAGCGCGTCTAGTGAAGGTAACAACTTCGTGGTTTGAAGTAGAAATCACACAAGCAACGGTATGCTTGGTCGGATTTAGTTTTCGCAGGGCTAGTTATGGACTTTGTGCATTATCTTCTTGTGATCACTGCTTATGAAGAATCTACAACTGTGCTTTCGAAGAGTAATTTTTTTGCAGATTATTCAGTCCAAAAGACGCTTCCAAAAAGCTCCAACTAACTTCGCTTTGCGGAAGGCTGAGTTGTTGAAACAGCGTGAATTGGCTAATGAAAATGGAGACACCGAGGCTACAAAGAGAATTGACATGGAACTTGATGAGCTAGAGACCCAAGCCGAAAGAATCGAACGCCGTCGAACTATTGGATTTAAAGCTATTTCCTCGATCAACCAGCGGAACCGTGCCCTTTCCTTGAAGCAAGCTGAAGAGGCGATCATGAAAGACGCCAGGGATACAGCTAATTCGCGTGAAGAGGACCCCTTCACGAGAATCCAGTCCACACCTGTGATCGCGACAAAAAGTTACTTAGAACGGCTCAGAAACATGAGGGTGTGTATTTTGAGATTTCTACGTGCATGGCAGCTTTAAAGTATGTCGTTTTTAGTTATCATCACGTAGACCACAACTTCTGTTGGTATAATAGTCTCATAGCTTGCACCAAAATCACTCCTTTTGTTGTCAAAAATAGTTGTATCCGTCCTCGGTATACGTAGGTATCTTTCCGCAAACGGTGCTGTCAAGAAATTTCACTCTGTATTTAAGTGTAAAAATATTGTCTTTGGTGTTTCAGAATACTCAATCCACCAACAATACCGAGAAGGTGGAGGGTGCGGCCGAGATTCAAGAGCAGTCCAAAACCGAAGCAAAACCAGAAAATCGCAAGGTCGATTCACCATTAGCAGCTAGTTTGCCGCCACCCCCAGAGGAGTCGTTGCATGCTATTCATGACTTTGAAATCGACATCAACGTTGAGCTGGATGGCAATAGCAACAGTACAAGCCTCGATGGGCGCAGCAGTAATGTTCACCGGCCTACTTCAAATCCTCTTGTATCTTCACACGGATCTCCAATGAGTAACGGTGCAGTGCATACAAAGAACGACAAGCCGAACCGTCGCTTTCTCAATTTACAGGAGTATAAGCGACGCCGGGGTCTCATCTGAACAAAAGAGACTTCCACTACCTGTACATACTTGACAAATTTTAAATGTGACGCTGTGGCAATGTATATTTAAGCATACCTAGTGCTTTGTCATTAAAACTAATGCTTAGTAAAACATGGTTGTGCAAGTTTTAGTGCGCGAAATAGTCTTAGACTAGGGCTACTTCGTGGTTTAGGATGGCTGGAAAAATTCCTTGTGATGAACTCGCGTGAAACCTTTTCGTCGTGTTCCACAGGACAAGACTTTAGGTCTAGTTAGGCTGCAAAGCCGTAACTTCTTAAGCACGTGTCTATCTGGTTGAAGTCGAAGGTGGTGTTCGCTACGCCTTGCTAGGTTCCCTCCACTTGTAACGTGTGAGCATTGAGCAGCGTAGACTTGAAAAGCTAGAGACATTTGGCTTGGATTTATGAATGACCACAAAAAAATCTGTACAGTACGGTAAAATCGCGTTCATATATAACGGAATATAACATCCTTGGGATTTAGTACCATTCGAGGTTCGATTTTGACCGGACAGCGTAGTAACATGGAGAGCATTTGCTCTCCATAACCAATGAGGAAGAAGATCTCGTTAGTGGAGAGACGATTTGATAAAAGAAAGCAAATGTGAACCATGTTAGCTTGACGTCGAATAATAACCTAAGAAAATCAGCATTTATGAGCATAAAGTGTTTACCTCACTCGCAAGGTGGGTAGGGAAAGTTCCTCTAATAAATAAGCGGATGAGAGAATCATGCCAGGTCACGATTCCTGTGTAATGCGTTTCGCCGTTTAAATTTGCTGTATTCCAGGAGTTCCATGATTTGAGTACACCTATCTGGTGTGGTTTTTTTGCCTGTTCGTATGTTAGCGGTTCTGACATATTTCGAGTTCTTCGAATTACACCCGATCTGGTATTTTTTAGTAAGATAGCTGAAGTGAATATGGATCTAGGAAGACCCCCTATTTGATTCTTATAGGTAGGTAGAGTCCAGGTCAAAGACATGGCAAACAGTTTAATCATAAAATGATTCGCTGGAGCTAGCACTTTATTAGACCCGCGTTTATTTACGAAACGTTTTAATAATTTCTCAGTATAATGCTGACATTATCCAATTAAAAGGTTAGATTGGCGTTAAAAAATTGTTTATATTTCTGTATGGCATTTAGACTGCATAAAAACTACGATACACTTGTAAAGTAGTAGAAGGTTTGTGTATAGGGGCCCTCAGGAATTAGGCAGCGTACTTGAGAATTAAGTTATATTAAAGACAAATTAATTTATTTTTTCAGGAATCAAGACACACAGCAAAATTAAATTAAATGCTTCTGGTTATCAGTTGTGACAATGGATCAAATTATTATGAGGATGAAAAGCATATTTGAGTTGGCTGCAAGTTGTCAATAATAGAATTAGACATCTGTTATGCTAGTTCGAATATCAAGGATATTTCAAAGACAAAATTTTAATAATATTTATTTACTACAGCCCTTATGAAATGTGAAAAGTTTTTAAAGATATTAAATTAGCTGATATAACTACGCGGCATTTGCTTCAAGAACGGTAAGGAGGAATGTGAGTTTTAAATTTTGAGAAACTTGTTTTAATAAGAAAATCGCCAGAATCCAACATCTATATGAACACAACCAGTATGCTTTCAATTATTTGTTTCTGGCCAGTGGCATCGATATTTGACCCAAAAAATATTTTGTGATATAAACAAAAGTCTGGTGGTTTGTTTCACCACTCTATCTTTTCATGTGTGCTTTAAATAAAAGTACTTGAAATTAATTTTTACTAAAATTACTGCTATTTATTTCGACAACTTTTCAACTTATTGCTCACAGTATATATTTACCTGAAAATGTATGCGAAAAGCCAAGCGTTTTGTAAATAAAATGAGAAACCATCCAATCCAATTTGTCTTTAACTCATGTAGAAAAAAAATTAATTATTTACACACACGACCTTGCACTAATTCATGTTTTTTACTCTGGCAACATTTTCTTATGCATTCGACCTTCCTAGTCTGAGCAATCCTGCTTCTTATTGGACCATGTGTTAAGTGACTCACACGTGCACATAAATTTCTTGTCGTTAAATAAACGTATTTGTACTTAGGTACATTTCGATTGACTTATATAGAAAAATCATTGAAACGCCTAGGCACTTATTATGTTAAAATTACGACATATTTTAGTTGAAATGAATTGAGGTTTCGTAGGACTCGGCTGCGGATCAAAGTAGAAAGGTATGACAGTAAACGTGACCATCCAATATAGGCAAATGAAGTTAATGCGTGAAATGCAAAGGGAATATAGAATATTTACTGATCAGGAATTTAGTAAGTTAGTTGTCCTGTAAAATGCTGATAATCTTACTGCCTTGTTTACTCTAAAACTCATCACTTAGTATTTTACACACTCAAGCCATCGATTTAAGACCACACAGAAATTGATTTAAGGGCGCATTGGAACGGAAAGGCCAAAAGCTCTTTGCAAAGGGTCTCCTCGTTGTCCTGGTCTGGGATTTTTTAGACATTCTTGACACGCAGAAAATTATTTACCCCCAAAATAGCATCTTTGAAACGGTAAACCGTAATATTTATTTTTGAATCTGTGATGTCATTTCCCAATGTCATTTCACATCGAGACCAAACAGCACTAACTTATGGATTTCAAAATATAATACTTTGTTGTGAATCGTGCTGATTTACGTCCACGAACCTTGTCATTGCGTTCTCCGCCGCACTGCCATTACTTACATAACGAACCAACTGATCAACATAACCAATCACTACACCTACCCGCTTGAAAAAGCCGTTTGTACTTTTAAGATTTCACAATTCTTTTTGTTTAAACCTGAGTTTTATGCACTGTGGTTTAAATAACGTCAACTAGGTTACGCTGTATAATAAATATGTAAAGTTTAAAGTCATTGGGCTAAATTCAGCGGAGCGGCATCGGTATGGTTCAAGACAGTATCCCAAAACCTTGGAAAACAGAATTTAACTGAGCGAATTAAATTATAACTAAAACTATGCCTTTTGTAGATGTAATTTAAGAATCCATCGTTCTGATTATTCTAGACTACTACAACCCACAGAAGCAACCACATTTTTCTCTTCAAAATGAAGATTATTTATTGATTTTAGCTCCTGGACAAATCGTTATGAGTAATGAAATGCAGTGTCTATAAACTAAATATTAGGAACAATTTTTAACTGGGCAGTGTGTCAGTTTAATTCAAATTCAGTGTCTTTTGTCCCTAGAAAAATGTGTTCAAACATTTTAAAATCTTAAATATTTTAATAAAGAATGCTTAAAAGTTAATAAGACGATAAAATATCCAACAAGTGAAAGCTATTTGGATATTCATCAGACACATGCGCCGCACGTTTTTCTGCATTGAGGTATAGTTGAGGCGGGGTAAGTCGCACAGTAGCCGTACTTCTTAAGTGTTTCACAATTCCGCATTGCGTCAGCACATGGACCTATAAGAACACAGGACTATCAAACGTAGTGCGTTATTTTAAGACAAGAACCAAGTACTGCCTTTATAGATGTTCACACTTCGCTAAGTCACGTCAAAAATTGACTGGATTTGTAGCATCCATTGAAACAAGACTAATACATGTTTGGATTTATTTTAGGACACAACCAAGTAGCGATTTTTCTTCGTTTTTTTCGACATTTTGCGAAGTCAATTATGCTGTCGCATCTAGTGGTAGACTACAATCACTAAACACACTTCTTGTTTGTTATCCGACATCATAGAAAATGTTGTGTTTTATTGCGCAATAGACTCGAACATTGATTGCCATCTAGTCCTAATTTAATCGTCGATTTGCATGATTTCATACCAAAAATGTTCGACCTTACGTAAAACTCGTGCGTAGAATTCATTAGCAAATACTTGTCAAAGTTAAAGGTCAATGCAATTATCTGCAAAATTACATTACCCGCCATAACTGTCGAGTATTCAGCATCCCCAAGACCACATCCTTCAAATTTTTGACAATTTGCTATCCTTCCTTGTCATTCGTGTTTATGCACACTAACTTTTGTATTTGTATTGCCGCCTCTTCCTTATTGGTCAATTTCACTTGTGAATTTTCTTATACGTCTGATCATGTTTTCGAGCCGTTGGTAGAGGCAGTAGAAGCTATCTTATATTAAGGTTTGCGTAAAACAGGGCTTTAGTCGTGATTGCTGGCAAAATGCTGCCTAAACGTACCACAATTTTTGCACACGTTGGGACAGCGGCGGTAGATGGCAAGGCTCCTGCACTGTGACGAATACCGCGGACAGCCATTGGCTGGATCACCAACTTGACATGTGTCCGATACAGGCTCGTTCTGAGGCCTTGAATTAGGCGCTGAAATACAAATTTCCGGCTAGGTTAGAGACTGGCGCTAGTGTCTCGATAAACCAATGCCAAAATTATCCTTTTTCGAGTATCTTTCGAAATGGAACACGTCGATAGCGGCGAGAACAACGTGGTCTTTGTAAATTATACAAACAGCGGTCACAGTGTCCTTTAAGTACCTGTGTATTTGTGTGCAGTGACGCCTTGCATGCAGGTATTAGTTTTACAAACAGGGAAGTTGTTGTTGGCTTAGAATGATTCAGGATCTTGGCCATACGTACCATTAGTCGCTGGTAAGTCATTTGACTGGCAAAAGCCACATGTGGCAGGGCAGTTTTGCCGCATCCACGAAGGATGTGAGGTGCAGAGTTGCCTAGCAGCGAGACGCCGACAGTTTGTTTCTCCATAGGTGTCCTTGCAGTCGCTTGCAGGTGATTGGCCCGCTTGTTTAATCGCCCCATCTAACGGCGCGGTGCTTTCAAATTAGACAAAAACTGGAGTCAATTTGACTGGTCGTTTCCGCTTGAGTAAATGGATTGATATACCTACCCTTTACTGTTAGAACATCGTCCGCAGGATTTAGCACAATTGTAGTACATCCACAGTTTGTTGGCTTCGCATAGGCCCTGCTTTGCCCAAGCCTCGCAGTCTGAGGGGTACACGTAGTGGTCCACGCATTCACTCCCACCCTCCTCTGCTGAGTTGTCGGTGCCCTGGCACAAGCCACAGCTTTCAGGGCACATCAGCTTCATGTAACTCGAAGCCTTCGTGCACTGACCTTCCTTGGACCACGCTGCGCAATTCTCATGGCGATCTTTGCAGCTAAAATCCATGACAACGGAGTACACTGCTGAAATTGCTAAGTAGAGTTCGGCTTTAAAATGCCCCATTTTCCACAAAATACCGCTAATATATTGATTAATCTACTCTTTGTCCGCGGACAGAAAAGGCCAATGGTAGTTGGCTGTTGCCAGATTTTTCCCACAGCGCTGATTTGCATTTAGGTCAGCCAATCAGAACTCACCAGTTGGTCATTGGACTTTTAAATCGTGGTTGACTCGTTACTGAATAGCGACAAAGAAACCTCAATTTTATGAAGCATTTATACCCTAGCTATCCGCAAAAAAGTAGAGAAGTATTGATTTTGACTGAATTTAAATCAGTTTTTGTTTTAATAAAGGAGTCGCATAATTGGTGACAGGCCCCCAAGCCGATATAATTAGACCAATAATAAGACAATTTGGTCACCATAATTTCATTGGATGCGCTCTAGGGTGCGTTTTTGGTTCCCGGTTTACATTTAACCCGAACTCGGAGACAAAATATTGCTTAATTACTTGAAAAAACAGTTCAGAGTCTTCAGGTTGTGCAGTCTATACCCAAGGCGACATTTTTCCCAAACCAAAAAAAAACATGCAAAGCACTTGGCTCACTCTTGCTTCGGTGGCTTTTCAATTTCAGAAAGTTTGTCCTTGTAGCAAAAGCCGCAGGTTTTGCGACAGTTGATGGACATGAAGCTGGCGTTGCGGTAGCACTCCAGCTTCTCGGCGAGGTTTCGACACTCAGGGGTGCCGTGGACGTCCACGCATCGACGTCGCGAGAATTCTAGGCAAACACACGGTGTAACCACGCACGCACACACAAAGGGGACGCGTTACCTGCTGGCTGCTGACACTTGCAGAACTTGTCGACGTATCCTGGGAAGTCGCACGAGGGTCGCGCACTTTGACACTCTTCTAGAAGCAAAATAACCAATCAAAAGACGTGCGTTGAGTGAATCCGATTCGCTAACCTTGACACTGGTAGTGCAGATTCACAGCTCTCGCGTCCCAAAATGAGGTCTCCTTGATGTAAACGTCTCGAAGAACATGACGCATATTGGGGTCCTTCACGTCTATTGGTGTTTTGTCGGCAAAGAGCGATAGTGACTAGCAGGCAAAAGAAGATTTTCTTGCAAAATCAGACAAGACATCTGGAAACTTCAACAACAGATAAACATCACTGAAGGCTACACATCAACAACACACCCCGTGGACCCAAATGTATGACTCGCTGATCGATAAAACGCAATGATTTGATTGGTGCACTCCTGTAAAGTACAGACACTTGTCCAAATTACAAGCGTACCGAGGCGCCGTAGTGCATTACCGACTGCAAGTCGTACGGCGAGTCGTAGGTCTTGAGTTGGTCCTTGGTTCTGCGGCTAAAGAATGCCCAGAGGTCCCTCGGCACGCCGGCAAGGTTGACCTGAAGGTGCTCGTCTCTGTCGGAGCGCACGTGTTCGTGGTCCAGTCCGATCACGTGACCCAGCTCGTGAAGACACAGGCCATACTTAAATGGAAATAAGTAGCAACTTCGAGTGTGATGTAAACTTCGAACACGACAAGCCCTTGTACCAACTAAATTGATTGCTATGGGCATTTGCATTGAGTGATCAAAAACCAATTACGAATTTTGCAGCATCCCAGAGTGAATTTCAAGCAAAATTGAGTGAAAATAAAAGTTAGCCATGCCAGTTAATCTCATTGGCTTAGTTTCCATCATTATCAAATGTTCCATACCAATTCGGATTCAATTTAAATGTAAAATCTGCATGCTATTTATTTGCTTTTTAAGTAGCACATTGTCCAAACACTAAATGTTTGAGCTACAGACAACGAATTTCGAAGAATTCAAGAAGTTTGCTATTTTAAATGGTTACTAGGCAACTGAAGGACTTACGAATCGGCAGCCATTTTTGGAAAGCGTAAGTCTTTGCTCGCCTCCACGTCCACTGTAGCCCACGTATTGAGAAAAGCAGCTAAATTATGGGAAGTACGAAAAATTGCGTAAGTCATTCGTTTCGGTGTAACTGGAAAAGAAATGTAAGCACACGATTAAAAGTTGTCAAGGTAAATCGGCTGGTGGCTCTTTTCTTATTGGTTCACAACAACCGGGGGAAGTCACTCAGGCACACCCGCGGAACTCACCTGTCCCCGTCCGTTATTCGGATCCACTGCTTGTCGCCTCTGCGGTAAGCTCGGAAACGGACGCAGGTCTCGTCGTTCCACGTCTTCATGGCGGCTTCGAGGTCCCTCAACTCGTGAGTCTCTGTAATTCAACCACAAAGCCCCGATTAGGTGTGACCTGGCCATGGACAATGTGGCGACTTGTAGGTAGGGCAAAAATTGCAACATTCTGGCCACGAGAGTCACAATTAATTTGTGGAACAACCTAGGAATTCCCGGTGTCGCTCTCGAACCGTACGACTAGACCAGGAATGAAGAAGACAGCAGACTATGCTCTGGCTTGGCAACATAAAGATGTAGGGTTGTCGGCCCAGATGCGGTTTGGTAAACACAGATTGTTTAGCAGGAAATAAGTTTTAGATCCAATTTCCAACATTCCCTAGGACGGCTCACCTCGAATTACGGTTTCGTCAGTATTTCACTTAGGTGAATGAGGCATCCACGACACCCCACTGACACCCCCCTCTGTGTTAATTCGCATTGGTCCATCGGGTCAAGATCATTCTTGATTTGTAAAAAATGCGTGCATTCTGACAGATCACACGGTCTTTGTTTGAGACCGTAAAAGCTCTCCCCACAAGGTCGTGCCTTTGTCCTGAACTGAGAAGGTGAGGTCAAACACGGGATATATAGTGCAGACTACCTGTGTGTATGATTACGTTTGCGGACATTTAAGTGTGCATATTTTTTCGGTTTTTTGTGGTTTCAAAAGAATCGGATGCAAGGTTTCTGAAAACTGAAAGAAAAGTCGATGCTGATTACGTAACCTGTCACAATAATAGATCAAGAAAGCAACTGATGACACGGCACCTTATGCGAATTACAGCAACTATGACAAAATGTTTCTGATGCAGGGGGGAATCGACTTGCAGTGGTCTTGGTGCCGAAGTTGTGTCTCAGAAAAACGCGTAATTATTTTTGGTACAAACACTTAATTACAAATGGTGATTTCGATCTTAGTGACCAGCTGCGCCACGGACAGCAGCCTCGAAAGTTGGAAGATGCGCGCGACTGCAAGCTCTACTGGATGAAGACTCAACACAAACGCAACAAGAACTTGTAGCAGTTCAGTTAGGAGTCACCCCAACGCCTATTTACAAGCGTTTGCACCAAATGCCGAAAATTCAAACACTTGGAAGTTGGGTCCCCACACATGTGTTGATCGAACACGTCCTCGAACACGAACACGAACACGGTCATCGCAAGAACACATGCCTTCCACTGTTTGCCCATTGACAACAAATAGTTCATAGACTTCTTGTGGAAAATTGTGACTAGTGGTGAAAACTACGCTTTTTATCACGAGAATCCCAAACTTTAGAGGTCGTGGGTAGATACCGCGTAACCCAGTGCATCGACACCGAAACAGGACATCTGTCCACTTGAAGAAGGTTCTCCTGTGTATCTGGTGGGGGAACATCGATGGTGCACTTTATAACGAACTCCTGTTAACTGGTTGTCAGACGGTGACTGCGTAATGCTTCAGCCGACATTTGAACAAACTGAGTGAAGCACTTGACCGGAAAAGCCCATTTACTGGGCGAGGAAGCAGGCACTGCTGCTACTGCATGAAAACGCTTAACCACCTCACGCTGCTCGCGCGCTACTCAGAAGACACTCTACACTTTGGCATGGAAGGTTCTCCCACACGCGGCATATTCACCAGCCTTGGCTCCATCCCACTACCAGTTGTCGCCGTCAACGCAGCAGCATCAGCATCAGCAGCACGCTTCAGTGGACAAACAGTTCAGAAGGCTGGGCGATGTGAGCAGATTCGTCGACGGTGACTTTAAGCTTCTTTCGCGACGGCATTCGTACGTTACCCGAGGGATGGCACAAGGTCATACAAATCGACGGATAATATTTCCACGACTAAGTTCTTTGTTATCTATTCGTTAAATATTAAATAAATCTGCAAAAGAATCTGCAAAAATTAAGTCACGTAGCTGTTAGTCATCCGAAATCACATAAGCGATGAGAGGGAAGGAATGATCAAGAGGTGGGCATGACCGTGGCCATGGGTTCCATCCGTCTCCCCAACGAGATGAACAGATAGAGCATCATATGGTGGCTTGATGAAAAGCCCAATTAAGGAAGTGAAAAAAACCGTTGCGAAGGAACAATGTGATTGAATAACTCACTGAAGTAGACCTTGTCGATGATGAAAGGGATGACATTGTTGGGCCAGCGGATGGCGTTGAAAGGAACAGCCGCTCGCCTGGTTCGTTGCAAGGCCGTGTCGCACTTAAACAACTCCGTGTGCACGATTAGAATGAGTAAAATGCCTCCAAGCATTTCGCAGAGGTGCAGTCTGAAATGAAACCCACTTGAGACACTCTTTGACAAGTGGAAATGTAATTTAATGGGTATGCCATGCCGGTTAGTTTGACGCAAGAGTGGCGCAGATGTCAAAGTCGAAGCGTCACAAACGCAACTACGCAAAAGTTTGTTGCACAGGGGTGTGATTTGATTAGATTACTTGAAAGCAAACCTCCTTATTTTCGTCTCGATTTAATGCCGTTTCTTAACTTTTCCTTTAAAAAATTGTCCCAGTGTTTTATTAGGAATTAAAGAGATCCCTGAATTGTACCCGTAAGTCACCGCTAATGTGTTTACAAAACTGACCGTTCGTGTTTGGGGGAATAAATATTGCACAAACGCATAACGCTTTTGACAGCTACTTGCTGACCATATTGAATGATGGTTGCACTAGGTTTTATCGATTACCTAAAATTATTGTGGCGTGGATTTAAAAGTGATGTGCACTGCATTTAAACAAAAGTGTTTCATGGAAAACGATTGTGCTTTAACTTAAAAACCCCGCCAAATAGTGCCCAAGTAGTAAAATATTTATGTCAATTATACAAGCATGTAAAATGACTGTTTGCTTGGTTGCTAATACAAAAAAGACTGAAAAAAATAGACTTTTGCTAATTCCAGTGACTCAGCAATTGCAAATCATAATAGTTTTAAGCAAGCACTAAAATTTTGGTGGCCTAAATTGTTGTTTTTGATCAATTTCACTGATTCCATCAGTGAATTTTTTTCGGAAAAAATCTCGCCGAATCATTGGTGGATTTACCAAGTATGACAAAAAAAGTGATTGTTTTGTACAAGTATGCAAGAGAATCCTAGTTTAAGAGTAAAATAATCGGCCAATTTAACCAACCGTCAAGTTTTTTCGTGTCCTCCAACCGTGTGAAAGCGGCTCCAAAAATGAAGTGTTTTTGTTAACTCAGGCAAATCTGCTATGCCTTTTTAAATGCATAACGGGCGCCAGTGGCATTGTCTTGACAACGAATGAACGCCCAATGAATTACGAATGCTCGCGGATGCATTTTAATGACTGTGCTGTAGTCCAAACATTTATTTAGCAATGACAAGGTGCGCCTGCAATTTGAAGGCGGTGGAGGATGTGAAATCTTTCCTGTAAATTCTGACTCACGGGTGGCAACTCACCACCAACCTCGGCGTAGGAGGGAATTACAGAGGGAAATGTGAGAATGTGCTTGGGATAATTAAATTTGTCGCATTGACAGGTGAGTTTGCAATGTTAAGCTTAGCCTAGGTTTTCCCAAATAGGGCCTTTTAAAACCAAAATGAGGTGGACAGTGATCGGATGCCTGTTCAGGGAACCATTTCATATTGACATTTTCAAGTACACCATGAAACAAGTAGAAAAACGTTTTCCTCTGGCATTTTTCTGATTTGCAGAATTTCCCGCTAAAAAAAATTACCAACAATGATTTTCGAAGACCAAAGGTATCTGTGATTACCCTTTTTTAAACTTATTTGCAGTTAAAACAATTCCGGAATGTATCTGTTGCATCAGTGCAGCCAAATTTGGCAAGAGGTCAACATTTGGGGTAAAGTTTGCATTCAAAATCTACTTTTTCTTCAACGCATGCATAAACTTGGAAAATGTCATTCGTTTGCGTGTGTTCGGTGGATAGCATTCGAGGTGCTTTTATTATTTACCCCAGCAAATTATCATTTGATTTTATTCTGCAGTTAAAATGCGGACTTTAAGGTGGTCATTGCGGAGATTAACACATCGGCACATCGTGCATCCAAAAAATCACGATTAGTGGGCCGTTGTTTTCTGCATTCACAATGAATTTCTATGCGCGTTTAGCAAGATCCCAAGTAAGCTGGTGTAATAGAGTCTGAAAACGTTGCAGTGGTTTGCGGGAATTCGTGTTCAGGCATCTGGTTAAATCTCCCACTTTCACTTACTTCTTTTGCTTGTTTTTGCATGCATTCACTCTCCGTTTCTCCTGCTGTTTTCGTGTACTTTTAAGACTAGACTCAACCGTGCGCGCTCAATGACACACAACGGAGTTGAGTAAACTGACGATCAGCCTTCGTGACAGCCGGAGACGTAGATGGGTTTAAAAACTGGTGACTCAATACCAAGCAAATCAGAGACACGGATCTTAGCAGTCTAGACACGATTCACAAACGGTTTCTCACAAAACTAATCCTGAATACTTAAATAATTGAACCTCCTCGTCTAAATCTATCACTATCGATTGCCTTGACGTCTATCAATGTCACTTTTTGCCGATGCAAATTTACTACTATCCTGCTAGTTTGGTGCAATTAGTTTTTTATCTTTCACTTGAATTCGCGTGCACGAATTGTCTTTTTTGATGGATAATTTAAGTCTTTTGGATGCATTATGCGCATTTTACAAAATTGCTTTCTAAACTACAGAGAGCGAATCAAATGAATCGCTGAAGTAGGTCTTGATGCTCATTTCATTGGCCAGAAATCAAATGGAGGACGAAAGATCAATAATCGATTGATTTTAGCCCACAATGAGTCGTGGGAACGACAAGTGCAAATCAGTTTTGCAAATAACTTCATACAGAAATTTATAAGGCCACGCTTTTATACCCCAAAATAAGTTTGCAAGAACAAGCAAAAATCGTGAAAATGACACACAGATCACCCCTATTCTTACTGGACCATTCCGTAACTTGTTTGTTTGTCGTAGTTTTGAACCTGTATCCCGGTATGGAATAACAGGATTCGTACTTGGTGAATATTAATGTTTTTTAGATAAGCGTCAGCCGTAACCTACTTTGATGCAAAAAGATAGGTCATATTTGTGAAAACGAGGTTGAAATCACTAAACACATAAACACAAAATCTTGTGGCGCCATTGTAACCACATTATGGAAACACGATGGTTCAACTTTGACAAACACAAAATCTACTTTGTTTGTATGTTTATACGTCCCAAAAGTGTGCAAATGTGGCCAGGATGAATAAATATTACATTCCGCAAACCCAATAAATCAACTGTTTCCCTTCCACCCACATGCGAGCGGGTTGTTTTAAAGTAGAACGGCAGTGTTCGATTGGAGGAAAGCCAGCTCATTTTCTGGGATTTAATTGCGGTCTCCTGATTGGACATTAGGAAAACTTTTCTACCTATAAATATGCACCTTTTGAATCATTTAATTGTTTGTCTTGACAAAATGGTCTAATTTTTTCGTTAGAAATTTAAAAAATATCAGAATGAATGTCGCCCTTATTGATGGGTGATTAAGTGTGTGTTGTGAAACGCAGAAGCGCAAATTTTGCAAAAAACAACGGCCCAAACTCCTCGAACTTTCATGTCTGTGCTGCCCAATCGTTGTTGCATGACGGCTAATGATTTTCTAAAACTATCTTCTTTGGCAATGATTATTAAATCTTAACGAATTCGTCAGGAAACGCTCATGAATACATCAGAGAAACGAGGCTGTAGTCTTTGATCTTCTGGTGGGTTAAATTGGCAGTCTGGTTTGTGTAAAACTCAAGCAGTCGCTTAGTTTGCTTTGCTTAGGTCCTAGTCTTAAGAGACTTCTGTTAGGTATTACATATTTTGTAAGCCAGCTATATCTCGGGGCTTGTCTTTGGTTTCGTATCAGTGAACTGTTTATTTGATAAGTCTGGACAAACGCTCTGGCAAAAGTTTCCATTAATTGTAGCATCATCATATCAAAATACAGCAAAACATTTTTACTGGTTTTTATATTACCGACTTATTGTTTTGTGATAGCTCTTGTATCTGTAAGCTTTCGTTAGATCATTAGTTTAGCCATTTTAGGAACTCCCTTGTGTTAAATAAAAAATTTGGACTGTAGAAGGGGACCACTAAACTATAAAGGCTGGATCATTACAGTGTAGTCAGACAGATTTTAGTCAACAGATGCATGCCTAGAACATCTAATTTTCCAAGCCAGTGTGTAAAGAAATTATTTTTATTCATAAAACGCACATATTTTGATGCACGCGGAATAACAAATAGCGTATTACTTTCAGATACAAGAAATGTTACCAATTAAATATTAAAAATCTTAATCACGTACATCTGTAATATGATATCATCGAAGGCAATTTCTTCATAGAATAAAATATATTTACAAATCGCATACATCAACAAAAGATACAAGGCAACATAAACTGTGAGTGCAAAGAAAATAAGACAGATTTTTGACCCCAAAGTCATATGTAATTTTTAATACAAGAAATATTTGCGCTTTTAGCTATGGTCTGTTTTCGTTGTATTTATATAGAAATGAATGCTCTGTTTTTAATTTTTTTGCTCCTAAATTACGTTTATTACCTGCTTTCTACTTCGAGGAATAACATTGTAATTAGCATGCTAGAACTTATATCAGATGTAAAACAGCAGTGAAATTCAGTAGATATGTACAAATTCACTCTAGTTTTTATTGATTAAATTGCTATAAAACACGCTATTGTGTGATCCAATTAAATAGCAGTGCTACATTTTTCATGTACAAAAGAATGTATTCAGACAATCACTATGCTATTTAAAACCTCATTCACAACGTTTCAGTAAACCAATTTTTTCGATAAGATCATAATGACTTAATCTAGTCTTCTGCTTCGGCTCCGAGATTCTGCATAGCTGATAATCTCATATTCAACAAACGTGCAAAAAGTTCTTTGGTAAAGTGATCTATGCAGATATAATTCAGAAAATTCAATCATGGTTCAAGGAGAAACAGCATTGATTGTTTTATTCAGGAATTCAATTAACAATTAATAGTCATGCAAAAGTGCTATCTGTAAAAGCCAATAGGTCAAGTTAATACTAACAGTTAACTATAAATCAGGATAGTTATACATTTGATCTGAAAAGTACATATTTTGGAAATTGACTTATATTTTTGGCGTGGTCTTGGTTAGCCTCTGTCTAGACAATGCATCGCCACTTCAAGTTTTTAGGCATTAAATTTTTCACATAAATATTGCACAAAAGTTATGTAGGAAAATCAAAGGTACACATTGCTTTTTTTCTTTAGCACGTTCACTTTTCTACATAATCTTCAGACGCGCGTTAAGCGATTTCTTTAGCCTGGCCTTTGAGGTTGATGGGTCGTAGTAGGGCTCGAAAGTTTTACAAAAATCCTAACAGGTTTTTTGAATTTTGTCTGAATCGTCTTGCTCAAGAAGCTAAAGCAAAGTCATGGAAGGTTGCTAACGTCTATGCAAAGGTATCCACTTATTTCTGTAGTGTTTGTAAGCATGCAGGCTTTGGTTTCTTTAAGGAAGTATCCAATCAGGCTTACATCCGGTAAAGAATGCCAGATCCTCAGTGGTTTTGGACCAACAATCTGTGATAGTTTAGATCGACAGCTAAAGGAATTTGCCGAGAAACGTGGCCTCTCTCTATCTGAGGCACTTTCATTTGGCAATTCTCTAACGTTCAGTGAGCTGTTGGATCTTTATCCTGAACCTGTGAAGGTCAGTTATCTTTAAATTTTGGCTTTTGCGTCTCATTTGGGGATGTGCTAATTTTATTCTCGCAAAACTTTCAGTAAATTTTTATTATTTCCCTGTAGTTTTCCTTGTGGCACACTACAGGCCAATGAACTTTACCTTTCAATTGTTATTTAGTTAATAATATTTAAATCGACCCATTTGGAAACAGCAACTGAGTGTTTAAGTCTTGATTTCCTACCCTTATCGACCTCATACCCCTGTAGGTGCATGGATTTTGCTAACTTAATGGCCTATTCCTTGTGACTGATTGTTGTCAAATGAGGGGTCGGAGGAAGTGTACGTCCGCTGGTTGGACTTTAGCATTCCAACGCTCGTTCGTGATGTAAATTGACAGGTTTTGACATATGCCTATTTCCAGTTTTCTTGTTTCTAGTCTGATGGTACGTTGTGGTGACATCTTTTAAAGTAACAATTCAGAACCGCTTTGTGCGCAACCTTCAGCGTTGTCCACAGCATCTGTGTTGACTAGCGAACCGTTGATGCCGATTGTGCGCCCGACAGTCGAGAGCTTTAATCCTCAATCACCCCTCAAGCCACCCGCTCATCCACCAGTTTTGGTAGACTTGACAAATCATGCCTCCCTTGACGCGCCATCGACGCAAGACGACACACCATCCACTCACTTTCCTGGAGGCTCTTACACCATCACACTTTTAGTAGATGTCCGGGAGACCTTTGGGTGAGTTTCCCTACGCGTTCGAGCCACTGAACTCCTCGTTCTGTTTCCTATTAGTATTTGTTCGTTTTTCTAGAATGAATAGGCTTAAGGACTTGCTCAATGCACATGCTGTGAGTTGGGAAGCCAGAAGTCTTCCTGTCGGTGACTTTGCTTGGATAGCACGGTCCGCCGAAGGTTAGTTGTTTAAATTAATCAGATTGTCTTATTCGATATTCCCTCAGGAAACATCTCACAGAACTCCGGTTTCGCTAGCTAGACCGGAAACTCAACAGTGTTCACAAAAGGCATAGGTGGTTTTGCTCTATGTTTTGAGATTGATGTACTTCTTGAAAACGACGATTGTCTCACTAATTTCGAAGATTCGGCTTTCACACTTGTTTGTGTTTAAATATCTGTCGATTTTACGTGTTCTTCCACCTACTGACGATGTTTTCAGTATTCCGCATTTACCTCTTCTGCTTCAGGGCCTACCAGTGCCGAGGAAGTTGTTTTAGGTGTGATAGTCGAGCGCAAAAGGGCAGATGACCTTGCTTCCAGCATCGTTGATGGTCGATTTATGGAACAAAAAGTATGCCTGTTGCCTTTTTGACTCTTTCTACACAAATGTGTTAAGTAGCCATTACGTACTCCGTGAGAAACCGATATCACACATCGTTTTAGGGGCGGATGCACAAACTGGGGTTCAGAAAAATTTACCTTTTTGAGGAATGCGGGTCCATGTACAACCTCCGAATATCATACGAAACCCTCCTACAAGCCATGGTCAACGCTCAGGTAAGTGGAATCCTTGCACTACGGTTCTACGCCTTCATCCAGGGCTCTGACAGTTCCCTTGCGTTGACCCACAGCTCATTGATGGATTCGACTTTATCAATTGCTCAAACGGCGAACAGTCTGTTGCCTACCTGGCTTCGTTAACACGGTGGCTGCACGCGAAATCTCGGGTAACGTCTTCCACAACATCTGTTCCCTTCGCTAAGCCAATTTTCGCGACACCCTGCAAACGAGTTACCTGTTGTCTTGACCTTTTAGTTTGACTGTGCCGTCTACTCGGACGGTCGCAGACCCCTCAGCCCCACCGCTGGCTGCAATCGTCTCTGGGGCATTCCGTGGACTCAATTCGCTGCCATCGGCAAGAAGTCGCCTGTGTTGCCCCTTCGGGAGCAGTTTGGTCTCCACCTCCTTCAAATCCACTCAATCACCGGTCCCAAGGCAGAGGAGATTGTCAACGCGTTCCCCACACCCAAGAGGTTAGGAGCAGGGCCAAATGTCCTGGGGGCCCTATTCCCCCGTCACGGTCCACATGTGGTTTTTATGCCAGATTAGTTGCAATTATCAACTCCTATGCGGTGACCAGCAACCTCATGGTGTGCGAGAGGCCGTCTTGAAAGTGATAGGCCGTGAAATTACCCTTTATGTTGGCCTTGGCTGTTTTCTTTGCCTTCCAGGCACTCCTTCAACACACTTGTCTTGGCTGGAGCCGATTGGTCCTCTTTTGTCAGGGGGTCTAAAGTTTCGTAGACTGAAAAATGCCATTTTAACCTCGGACAGTCGGAACCACCTACTCCGGCAGCTTTCCACCGTGAATAACTCCATCCTTGGTCGTAGTTCCCTAATTTTCTCCCCTCCCCCTGTCCGCCATGGTTGCCCTTACGGTGTCATGGCAAAATTTTTTGCGTGATTTGCTTAAAGCAGCGTTGGTTTGCGCCACTGGTGTTTTACAGCAGTTCTATCGCACTCTGATTCGTCCCGTCTGGTTAGCCAATAAGGCTGTCGCGATCATTTTCCACGGCATTGCCTGTTCCCTGCGTTGTAGCATATTCGAAGCCTACGACAGTTTGTCTTCGGAGAACGACAAGAAGGCGATGCTAATGAAACACAAGAAGTCGGCGGGTCTCAAGTGAGTGCCATTGTGTTCGAACGCACTCTCTCGCCGTGCGGGCTGGTCAATTGCCATTGTCTGCTGTTGTTGTTGCCTTTTAGAACCATGACACAAAGAACGAGTGAGATGATCTACTACGTGTACAATCTTGTGTGAGGCGTAGATGCACTTTATTCTTTTCGATGTGTATCCATTATTACCGTCTGCCAATACAATTGCTCCTACTCATGTGTTCTAGTGGTTTTTTTCTCCTTCGTTGTGTGATCGCGTAGTTCATTCTAGTGGATCACTCTCCTACTTAGACTTCACGCGGGCATACACCCCTCTCTTGTTTGAGTTCATTTTTATGTCTGTGCTAATTCTTCAAACACAATGCGCTTTGCCAGTAAGGCGAAAATCCAGCCATTTCTGAATTTATGCAACGCCAATTCGGATTATTTTATGCTTACTACTGCCAAAGACTCCAGTTTTGAGATCAGATCGCTAGTATTCCTTGGAGGAACACTTTGTGGTAATGATCGCTTCATTAAAACCCAGTCTTAAGCTGTCTAGTGTGCTCTTGAAACGAAAAATTTCCAAACTAGATACCAGAATCGCCCAAGACTGTCTCCTGTATTTCAATTAAATCAAAATTACGAATGTTTTTTTTTGTGGGAAAAAGACGTGTCGCTAGATTACTAGCAGATCAATCTTTGCGCGCTTGTGTAGCACGGTTGCCTGAAATGCTGTAATTTACGTCAAATCGAACACGGTCAAATTTAATCTACATTTTCTTCGTGAGTAGTCTTTAAAACGGTCAGTGAGGTGACGAATAAACGGCAAATTAACCTGTTACGGTGGAAACGTGGCCATCTACGGTAGCTTATTGTTGACTTGAGCAAGAATTGCCAGCATGTGTGTCATTCAAATGATTTCTAATATTAAATGCATAAACAGTTTAATGGGTCTTTGGAAGCAGAGCACAAAATTGAGCCTACGGACGACACCGTAAACGGTGTCGATAGGGGGGGTTTCACTAACGTGGGGCCTGCTCGTGTATGTACATCCAGGATGCGGAACGCCGTCATTGCTTTTTCCCAGACCCATCGGCCTTCTTCGACGCCATGTCTTTCTCCAACGCCTGGCAGAATTTGCGGTAGGCTTCGGTGTCTGGAAGGTCGAGTCGGAGGCTCTCTCCGTCGCCGACCTTCGGCGATGTCAATCTCGACAGTTCCTTCGGCGTTGTCACCCTTGACAATTCCTTCGGTGAGGTCAGTCTCGACAATTCCTTAGGCGATGTCACTCTTGACAATTCCTTCGGTGAGGTCACTCTGGACGCTTCCCTCGGCGATGTCACTCTTGACAATTCCTTCGGTGAGGTCACTCTCGACGCCTCCTTCGACGATGTCAATCTCGACGCTTCCTTCGCCGTTGGTTCAATCATTTCAAAGCCAGTTGTTGGGAAGGTCTCCATATCACCGCGTTTGGACTCATTCAGTCTGTAGGCTTTCGTGCGTTTTATTGGAGACGGACGCTTCAACAGCAAGTCCATGATCCCGTCGTCGACTTCCGACGTCAAACCGTCCTTCGCGGGAATCCGATAACGCGGCAACTGGCCGTCGAATTCGGGAATCTGTACGGGATTCGGGCGTCGGAGCACTCGAACCACTGATCCGTGGTGGAGGTCGTACTCACCCAGGCGTTCGCCATCCTCCATCAGCCACGAGCCGTAGCTGAGTGCCTGCAGAGCCACGGGAATCTTCGTGGCATCTTCAATGGACCACTTGAGCTTCGAGACGAGGTCGTCCTTGTTCACGCGCCTCTTAATCATCAGCCCGCCGGGCATTTTGACGTAGATTTTGAAGTTTAGGTGGAAGTCGATGGGCAGAGAGAGCGTCACAGTGGCCTGGTCGTGGACGCCGTAGTTGCGCATCAGCATCTTGCCGTTCTCGAGGACGTGGCCGTTGAAGGTGAGCGTCTGCACCTCCGGCGGTATCTGGTGCGTCTCCTCGATAATCTCACGCAGACGCTTCACAGTCATGTCGTTCTGCATTGAGACGTTAAATAGCTTTCGATTCTTGTAGGAAATCGTGATTTTCATTGCTTGCGCGCGCGTGTGTGTGGGTAAGACGGTAGGCGAGAGCCACGCTGAACCGCCCCATTTTGTCTTATATAACGCGCGCTCACGCGCGCGTGTGTCTCTAAGTGTGCACATAAACACACTCTTTGGCTCTCCTTTTTTTGTGTGCGTGTGTCTGCTCAAGCCAAAACTGCGCTGAATTATCGATCGCAATCTAAGCTCTCACCCTCTCTCTCCACCTCTTTTGACGGCGCCTTGGCAGGCCCCATGTTTGAAACACTTGACTCACGCCTAATCACGTCAAACTGCATCCTCCATAAAATCCACGTGTTCCTTCAAAACAGAGGAACTCGCATGGCGTAGTGCACAGCACAAGTCTGCACAGTCGATGTCTGCGAAGTCTCCCTTGTCATCTTTTTGGACCCCTAGAATAGTTGGTGCGATGCGACGAATTCCGTCGCGCTGAAAGACTCGAGCATGCTTGGTAGATTGCATGTGGATACGAGAAGAGCCGTTCTATTATATGTATGACTTAATTTTTGCAGATTTTTCTGCAAAATTATTCAACGTAAAACGAATCGTGGGAATATTATCCATAGTTTTGAATGACCTTGTGCCATCCCTCGGGTAATGTACGAATGCCGTCGCGAGAGTATGACTAGTTCTTCTAAGTATGACTAGTTCTGTTTTTGCCCAAGTTCGTACGGATTTTTTCCGGAAAATTGATTTCACATGTAAAAAATG